GGAGGTAAGCCTGGGTCTGGGGCTGGTGAGATGGTGATGTGCTGGGAGGTAAGCCTGGGTCTGGGGCTGGTGAGATGGATCACTATATAAATTCACTTGTAGAACAAATCTGATGACTTGAGTTCAATCTCCAGACCCATGTAAGGATGGAGGAGAGAATCAACACTACAAAATTGTCCTCTGACCTCTACATGCATGCTGTGGCAAGAGTGCTTCCTTCCAATAAAACAAAATAAAACACAAAAATCTTAAAACCTGGATCTGCCTGACTCTATCACAGTTACCCACATATGGCCTCACCGCTGAATAGAAGCTAGATTTTGAGCATTTTATTTATTTATTTATTTATTTATTTATTTATTTAGTTAGTTAGTTAGTTAGTTAGTTAGTTGCTGTTTTCTTCTTTTTAAACATGTGCAATGTGTATGAGCACATATGTGTGAGCAAGCACATGGAGGCCTGAAATTGACATTTGGTTGTCTTCCTTAATCACTCTCCACTGTATGTACTGAGGCAGTCTCTCAATTGAACCCAGAGTTTACCAATTCTGCTAGGTTAAGCTAGCCACCTTGTCCCAAGGGACCCCCTATCTCTTCCAAGTGTTGAGATCACAGGCAGCTACTACAACCGCTTGGCTTTTACATTGATGATAGACCTCATGCTTGTGTGACAAGTACTTTACCCACTGAGCCATCCCCAGACAGAAGATTATTTTAGGTGTTTTTTTTTTTTTTTTAACACAGGATCTGCTTTCACTTAGACATGGCCTTACACTTGTTGTCGAGCCAAAGATGACCATGGACTCTCATTTCCACATCATAGTGCTGGGATTACAGGTGAGTGCTGCTGCACCGTCTATGGATTACTAGGATAGAGCCCTGTATGTGTGAGACAGGTACTTTACCAACTGAGCTACAGCTCCAACCCCTGTTTTTATTTTATTTTATTTTATTTTATTTTGAGATATGGTCTGTCTGTGTAGCCCTGGCAGTCCTAGAACTCACTATGTGGATAAGACTGGCCTTGAATTTACAGAGATCTGCCTGCCTCTGCCTCCCAAGTACTGGGATTAAAGGCTATCGAATCTGGCCCCCATTTTAATTTTTATATTTTGGTGCTGGGACTCAAGGACTTTCACATAATAGTCACATGGTGTAACACTGAGCTATCACCCCAGTCTGGGAACTTGTTTTCTAGAATTAGAGCCTAGAGAAAATTCCAACTTGAGCATACAGAGGAAGTCAGTGCCCTGCAGGGTTGCCTGTCCCTATGTTCTGCATTAGCCATTGCACATGCTGGCTTCTCACTATTGTGCTGATGTTAATGCTTGCTTGTACATGTGAGGACTGCTAGCTAGAAGCATGCCTCCTAATACTACACGATGGGACCAAAACACCTTGGTGGCTTCAAGATCTCCAGACCCTTGGGGACTTTCTACAGTTGAAGGAGATTGGGGCTAAGCTCAGCAGCCTCACCTTCACTCTTATCAAAGTCAGTCTGGCTAGATCCTTCCTTTTTCCATACATCTTTCTATCCTTTCAGCAAAGCATTTCTTGAGCTCCTACTATGCTTGGAATTCACGTTAATCACAATGGCCCTGTTCGACATCTACCATCCACCAGCAGCTGCACTTTCCAGGCATCACCTCATTTAAACCTCACAGTGGTACTTTGAGGCAAACATTGATACCATCACCATGGATCTTCAGAGTGAAAACAAGTGCCAAAACACAGAGTGGAACCCAGGTTCTTCAAATGTTATCACATGTTCTTCCATATGATAGCATACTACTTTCTTGACAGCATATACAACAGTATATTCACTCCTATTATTTCCAGCCCCCAACCCAGTATACAGCACATGCTCAATAAATGTCTACTGTTGAATACATAATCAAAATACTAGAAACTTGATAATCTGGGTCCACACTACAGTGTTGGCAAAAGGCTTTTACCCTATTTCTGTCTTTTGGGTTAGACAGAGGAGGCTGGTTTTACTATCCCACTTCAAATAAAATTTGTAACAATAAATAGCATTATTTAGGGCTACAGAAAGAATAAGATGTAGAAATCAGATAAGACTCTAAAGTAAACTCACAGAGAAGACACAACACTCAACAGAGCTGCAGGGCAGAAAAGTCTGTCTGGTTGGAAAAAAAAAATCAGATCTTACACAGCGCTAGAGCTTAAGCCAAGATCATATGCCCAGCACATGTTTCCTGAAAACATCCACATCACTTACACGGTTGGTGTGAGGTTTCAGATATTAAGATTATGAAAAAGCAAAGCAAGATGTGAGAAGCAGAGGTGGAAAGAGAACAAAGAAAGCCGGCCTTGTCACCACTTCCCTTGAGCACAGCTCCCTTCCCAGAAATTTCTCAAAGGTCCAACTTGCCAACCTGACTCCATCTCAAATGGTGCAGCTTGTGGCTGGGAGCCATGCTGTAAATAAGCAGGCTGGGCTCAAGTTTGGACTCAGTTGCTTCCAGTGTGTGACTTTAGGTAAATGTACTTGATCTCATGAAATGGATATAAGCCACAGTCTTGTTAGGATGACAGATCTATTACTTTTTAAGCTTCCTTTTGGAATTATAGGAGGTAAAAAATTTTTAATTGTTATTAAGTTCAACTACTGTACAGATCAGAGCAAGCAAGGTTTTGCTACAATACAAGCAACCTCTAACTTCAGCTGTTAACACAAGAGTTTACTTCACTCCTATGTTGTGCTCATATGGTCACAAAGGGATTCTGACTGAGGGAACAGAGCCAACTTGTTTGTGGTCATTGTGTCCAATGGGCAAAAGGA